TCCTGCAGAAGGCTGGGCCGTCGCTGCTGCTGTACGCCCAGCATTGCCCGCGCATGATGGAGGCGGCCCCGCCGGCCGCCCGCGCCCTCGCCACGTCCGCCGCCCGCGGGCAGCAGGCGGAGGAGGAGACCCCCGCGGGCCGCCGCGGTGAGTACGGCCGGGGCAGCGAGCCGAGCGTCACGGGCCCCCTGAAGGGGAAAAAAGAACACAGACATCGCATGTCGTGGGGGGAAACTTCTGGAATAGGCAGCGCTGAGGCAGAGGTTGCTTAATCCTTGAAGTGTCCGCGGTAACGAAATTTGTGACCGTGGCACGAATCGGGGACCGGCCTGGTGGGGCGTCCTGGGCAAGCCCCGGGTGGGGATCCGGGATCCTGGAGCTCGGAGTGGTGTTTCTCACTGTACAGTGGCCGCTCACGGCCCCCGGGAACATTCCCTGGGGAATTCTTCCCCAGGCGCTCAGGGGAAGGAGCTGAGGCTCGCAGCAGAGGAAGCTGTAGGGCTGAAAAATCTCTGAACTCCTGGAAAGATATCAGAATCACAGGTTAGAAAAGACCCCTGAGGTCGAGTCCAGCCTATAACTGATCACTACCATGTCAACTAAACCATGGCACTTAGTGCCACATCCAGTCTTTCCTTGCATGTTTTCCTTAAATATTGCCATTGGGAGTGAAAGAGAGGTATTTTTGCCCCTCAAAGGGTACAGTGTTAGATCTAGTTTCTTAAATCCAATGTCCCTTGGGTGTTACTGGGATTTTATGCTTTTATAAATAAAATGTGACTGCTCAGTTAAGCAGTTCTGAATGGGGCTTGCCAAATTAATTGCAAAAGTAATGGATCAAAAAAGTTAGTGTATTGAAATGATGAGGCTGAAGCGTTTTCCCTTCTCTGCCCCCATCTCAGAGGCCAAAATTGTCAAAGAAGTAGCCCAGCAGAATGGAGATGGAACCCAGCCTCCTGCTGGCCACCCACCTGCCAGCGCTGGCCAGAGTACGGCTACCAAATGCCCATTCCTGGCAGCTCAGATGAATCACAAGAACAGCAATGTTTTCTGCAAAGCCAGCCTGGAGCTGCAGGAGGATGTGCAGGAAATGCAGGTGGACAGGAAAGGTATGTTCTCTGTGCACTGAAGCGGTGATTCCTCCGGAGAGCTGCTGGTGCCTGACTTGGCTCTGGAGCATGCCAGGTCTGACAGGCATCACTGAAATGATGCACTTTTATGGGGGACTGCTGGGAAAAAGCTGCTGGAGAATGTATGTGTTAATGACACACCTGTGACGTTGGGCAGGGTTTCCCTGGGGGATTTTGATGTGGGAATAACGTGAGCTGTATTTTGATGTGCTGGCTGGCTCTAGATGTGGGAGTCAAGCTGTTACACTCGCACCCAAGCAGGTGCTTAGATCTGAAGAGAGCTTTGCCAGGGTGCTGGTTTAGACAAAAGTTTCATATCCAAAGACAGAGAAAAGTGTCAAGACATCAGGCAAGTACCAGCACAAATCCAAGCTTGAAAGCAGGCAAATGGTTTTGGGGTGTATTTTTGTGTTTATGGAACTAAAGGGTGTTGGCTGGCTTGCAGTGGTAGTGCGGAAGGGCTGTCCTTCAAAGGAAGGAACTTTTCAGCACTATCAGTAAAGCCTTGCTGCCTGTCTCAGGAGGCTTATTTTACTTTTCTTTTTGCCTTCTGTGGCATAGTTTTTAAAAAAATAAATCTGTGCTAACAGAACAAAAAGGAAGCAGCTGACTAGAAGTCTGCCTTCAGTTAGGTGTGTACCAATCCTTCCAGATAAATGCCATAGCTGTATAGTGTGGCTCTCTGAGTCATGATGAACCAAATGTCTTGTAAGGAAATTGCCTGTTGTATTGTGGTTAATTAGCAAGGCTAATCATTCTGTCTTGTCCAATGCAAATTTGCAAGCAAATGAAATAGTCGGCCCTAGCAGGATCAATGTGGGGTTTTGGGCATGTCCTTCCTAAAGATTGAAATATCAGTTTTATTTAAAATGCTTGCTTTGCTGAATTCAACTTACTTCACTCTGTTTCAAACCAAACTCACTGGAATTTATTACAATGTAGGTACAGAATTTGCCAAAATACCAAGTACTTCCACTGTGAGAAAGATTGAGACTGAGGGAGAAGAGCAGAGTGGCTTGCTCAAGAAGTTTAAGGATATTATGCTGAAGCAAAGACCAGAAAGTGTCTCTCATCTGCTTCAGGATAACTTGCCAAAATGTAAGAACGTCTGGCAAAACCCCCGGAGGCCTGGTCTGCTGTGATGATTTTGTGTGTGCTGAAGGTTCTGTCTCATTTCAGCTGTCTCCACCTTCCAGTATGATCAGTTCTTTGAGAAGAAGATCGATGAGAAGAAGAAGGATCACACCTACCGAGTGTTCAAGACGGTGAACCGGAAGGCGCAGATCTTCCCCATGGCAGACGACTACACTGATTCCCTGATCACCAAAAAGGAGGTGTCTGTGTGGTGCAGCAATGATTACCTCGGCATGAGCCGGCACCCTCGTGTCTGTGGGGCAGTTATGTGAGTAGTGCTGTGTTCATAAGAGGCGTTTTCAAGCTGTGTTTTGTGGGAAGCCTTCTGGAAAGCTGATTTTTGACTGGTACATAAGTTGCTTCTGATGTGATTCTGGGTGTGTAGTTAAGACCACACTTGTTTCTTGAGCTGGGGTAGGTCACTTGGTGTTAGATCCAAGGCTGCACTGTGTGTACTGGTCACTGATTGTGCTCCTTGGATCTTCCTTAGAAGCCCCAAAAGTATGGTATATTGCAGCTATATTTGGTCACTGATTTCTGACCTTACTGGACTCCTGAGTGTGCAGGTTGCTAAAGACCCAACAGCTGCTTTTTTGCTGCCAGTTTTTTTTAGAGCAGTCCTGATAATATACTGAAATGTTTTCAGCAATGATCCTTTACTCTTCCATGTGTCCCACAGCAATGCTAATGCCTCTCTTGGGACCTCTTTAGGGAAACACTGAAACAACATGGTGCTGGAGCAGGAGGCACAAGAAACATATCAGGAACAAGTAAATTCCATGTCGATTTGGAAAAAGAACTAGCTGATCTCCATGGAAAAGATGCAGCACTGTTGTTCTCATCTTGCTTTGTAGCCAATGACTCCACTCTCTTCACTCTAGCTAAAATGCTCCCAGGTAAGATCTCAGATTGCATCTCTGTTGCCACAAAGACACAGCCCTACCCCAAGCTGTTGGGTAGATGTCCAAAGTGAGGATTCACCCATATCCATTGGCAGAGTATGGTTTGCTGCTTTTGATACCATATTCAAGTTATGTTCAATACAAATGATAATATCAACCTACTGAGATTGAGATCTATGAACTGGGAACTGCTGGAGGAATTAGACAAGAGTGTTCTGTTCTGGCATTTAACTCTACCTGAGAATGAAGAAGTGGGAATTTAATGTCCTCCCACTGGAAGGGGTGAACTTCTCTCTTACTTCAGAAGTTAGGAGAGTGAGAGAACTATTTTCTCAAGCTCTTATTTGTGTTAATTTGAACACCTAAAATAAACCTCAAATATTATTTTTACTTCATGATCTGTAACTTGCTCTTTTGATCAAAAGCATTACTTTCAAGAACAAGCTAGCTACCCTTGTTTCCTGAACTCTTCCCATACATAATGCAATTCTAGGAATCACTTAATGCTTTCTGTACTTAGAATGTAACTGGGCTGTTTCCTCAGGTTGTGAGATCTACTCTGATTCTGGAAACCATGCCTCCATGATCCAGGGGATCCGTAACAGCAGGGTGCCAAAACATATATTTCGCCATAACGATGTCAACCATCTTCGAGAACTGTTGAAAAAGTCTGATCCATCCACCCCTAAAATTGTTGCGTTTGAAACTGTTCACTCAATGGATGGTAAGTTGACATCAAAGCCTCCTGTCTATTTCTAGGGCAGTTAGTCCTCAAATCATCTGTGTTTTAGGTCTCAAAGTGTACAGTGCTGTAGGGGTTGTCTGGGGGTACTTCTGGGGTTTATTTAGTCATACAAAAAAATCCTAAACTGTTTTGGTTCCTAGGTGCTGTTTGTCCTCTGGAAGAGCTGTGTGATGTGGCCCACGAGCACGGGGCCATCACCTTTGTGGATGAAGTGCATGCTGTGGGGCTGTATGGAGCCCGAGGAGGTGGGATAGGAGACCGGGATGGGATCATGCACAAGATGGACATCATCTCTGGAACGCTTGGTATGCACAGCCTGCCACTTCTGCAGGAGCTGAGGCAGCAAAGCTGCTGAGCAGCCAAACTGAGCTAACCCACTCAAAATCAGTCTAGTCAAATGAACTTGCTGAGGGCTGCTGGGGCCTAGGATTTTTCAAAAAGCCCAAGGGATTTAAGTGTGCCCCACAGTTTTTGAAAAGCTTCTATTAAGCTACTTACACTGCCTTAGAAATAATTATGGTAGCTTTGTATGGGGTTTTCCTTTAAGCAAGCTAGCAAAAAGTCCTCCAGTGGCATGTTATACAACTCAAAAAGAAAT